GAGACGCGGGGCCTCCGAGGGCTCGGCGGACAGGCACAGCTGCACGAAGTTCTTGTCGAAGTGCAGGAAGGTGAAGGGGCCCGAGCCCCCGCACAGCTCCAAGCCCACGGCCGCCTCCTCCTCCTCCTCCGGCTGCCCCACCTCCGCCTCCGCCTGGGCCGCCGCCGCCTCGTCGGGGCTGGGCCGCAGGCAGGTGAAGTTGACCAGGTAGTGGTCCAGGGGCAGCAGGCGGGGGGCGAAGTGGGCACACACCTGCTCCTGGCGGTTGAAGCGCAGGTAGAGGGAGTACTTGGTGGGGTCGGGGTTCTCCAGGGTCCAGGAGCAGCCCGAGGCGATGGTAGGAAAGAGGTCCTGCAGAGAGAAGGCCCCGTAGAGCACGCCCGAGGCCAGGGCGGAGCAGGCACTGGGGGCAGGGTCGAAGGCGGCGGCCAGGCGCAGGGACAGAATCACAGATAGTAAGAGGGGACAGGCTGGGGTCATCCTATGTCCCTTGCCCTGTGGAGAGAGACAGCGGTCAGTGATTCCAGGTCGACGGCCAGCAGGGGCTTCAAATCTCACCCAGTGAGCCTGCTGGGAGTCCATGCTGTCACCCCAGACCACCTGTGTGGTCTCAGACACAGCACTTCACATCTCCGAGCCTTAGTGTCCATGCCTGTGAAACGGGTGCATGGACCATCCCGACCCCCTGGGTCTCCTCGAGGACGACATGAGGGAAGTGAGAGACAGGGCTAGGGCGGTGCTGGAAATCGGAGTCCTTAAGAAAACACCTGTTTCCTTCTGATTCCGTGGCTCCCAACCCCCCGCCCACTGCGCCTCCCAGAACCGTGGCTCTCCGTGTGTCGTTTTCAGCCGTGAGGCGCATCACGCCGAACCCAGCAGTAATTGTCAAAGAAGCGATGTTTGACAACGATTTGCTTTTCTTATAAATCAGAGCAATTCAAGGTTATTCCCCAAACAATGTCATTCTCACTCGCTGTGCTGAGTGGGAGAGCAGGGGAGGAGCGAGCTCCGGGTGCCAGGCCGGGGCGACGCATACCCCAGCTGTGCCCACGTGAGCACCCGACCACTTATGAACGCTGTGAGTGGTCCCACCGGGGATGGGGAGAGGGGACGCCTCTGCTGAGGGAAAGACCACCGCAAAATGGGCGCAATCACTCCTCTCATATCCCATTTCCAGTCCTGCCACGGGGATATCCTCCGGGTTTGGGCTCCCCGACCAGGGAGGCCACACGGCCATTCCCGCTCTGGCCGGAAAGTCCGCTTCAGCCACCCTGGTCTCCATCCCTGGCTGTCCCTCCCCTGCCCCCAGCCCCCAGGGCTAGTTCCTTCCCTACCAGTCTGTTTTCCTGGAGGGGGCGAGGCACAGCTGGCAGTGCAGTGCAGGAATGAAACCCTGGCCGAAGGCACTCTGGGCCCCTGTAGGGGCCTCCCTAGTTCACACACCCCCCCAAGTGTTACTCTAGGGGAGCTCCCAACAGGTGTGAAAGTTCTCCTGCTGTAGGCGGGCAGCTTGACCCCAGGTCCACCTCTGAAGGGCAGCAAGGGGAGCCAGCCCAAAGCAGACAGGAGCTAGAGGGGCGGCTGCAGGTGCCTCCTCACCCCTTCCCCGCCTCTGCCACCCCTCGGCTGGCTCAGCCACTCCCTACTCGGCCCATACTGGATCCATGGCCTCCATCCTCGAGGCCAACAGCAGAACTTCAGGCTCACCGATGAGCCCCCAGAGCCTGCTTGTGCCACACGAGCGGGGAAAGAAGAGGCGCCATGCGGGAAGGCCATCTGCCGGAGATCTCACGGGAGCAGCCAAGCGGGGCTCGGAGTCCAGCCGGGGGGGCCCCCAGCCCCTCGCCCCTTCCCGTCCTCACTGCTCAGGTGAAAGGCCAGAAGGATAAGCCAGGAGCTCAGGAACTGAATGGCAGGTGGAGGGCAATTCGCACAGTGGGACTCGTTCCCCTGTGACACAGCTGCCCTCCAGGACAGATTTCCCCTTTGAAGTTCAAGAGAGTGGGGGTGACAGGGTGAACCACAGACCTCGGGTGTCTGTGCGGTGACCCTGAGGCCTTGACGGCTCCGGTGCCCCCATGTGGCAGACTCCAAGCCAGGCCAAGCCCCAACCTGACAAACAAGCACAGGTGCCTTTGCCCACTCAGGTGAACGGGGACCAGAAGCAGGGGAGGAAATCTCTTAGGGAAGACTCACCCATCCCTCTCCAAAAACCTGCCCAGGGCTGTCCCTCAGAAACCAGAATGGTTTGCGTCCCGACACTGCTGAGAAGGGAGCAGATCCCGGGCCTGCCCACCGCACTGGTGTCTGACCGCTAGCCCCCCAGCCTGCTGCGGCAGCACCGGAGGGCCGGCGGCTGATGATGAGTGACATCCAATCCCCCCGCTGCCCCCAATTATTTTTAAGCAGGCTGCAAAATTCAGGCCATGGCTGCAGCTGAGCAGAGGGGAGGCAGGGGCTCATTATAGCTGGCCTCGCCTCCCCCACTTAGAGCAGGACAGGGAATCTCCCCACATACACGCGCGCGCACACACACACACACACACACACACACCAGGGCCTGCAGACACGCGTGTGCAGAGACGCATGCACGGGCATTCCCACCTCTCCGTGTGAACATACACAGCACAGAGGTGTGTGTGGACCACAGATGTGGGTGCTCCCAGCACATGGGGTGCAAATGCAGGGACGGGGTACAAGGCATGTCCACGTGCAGGGAGGCGGAAGGACTCTTGAGTGGACACACACTTGGTCCTGGGAGGGGTCGGTGTTCAGCACTGGACAGAGATGCGCCCACCGGAAGGAGGACCTGGCCTGTGGCTTCTTCCTTTGTGTGCTGGGTGCGGGGTGTCAGCCCCCCAGCTCCCCCCTCTGGGGCCTCCTCTGCTCCCTACTCATCACCCCATGGCAAGGTCCGAGCCCCATCTCAACCATGTCCTCACCCATTCTCCGCTCCGCCCCTTCACCGGGTTCCGGGATTGCATGCTGAGTGTGCATGCCCCTCACGACTCCTCCTGTGACAGGAGGCCTTTGAGGGGGACCCTCCCCACCCACAAAATAAGGTCCACAACTCAATGCCTCCCTTTGAGAGGGCCTAGAAGGATCCTTGCCTCATGGGCAGCCCAGTTTGTGTGTGTGTATGGGGGGGGGGCGGGGGGAGATTCCCTGTCTTGCTCAATTAGCCACGATTGCCCACCAGAGCCTCAGTTTTCCTGACTGAGCCCTGGAAACCATGATCCTTGCCTCAGGGATTGCCTCAGGAGAGGCCCAGCAAAGCCCCCTGACCCGCTTCCCTGGCCGTTGGCAGAGCCTCACCCTCTCCCTGCTCCCCTGCTGAGGCAGAGGTGGCTGCCTCTGGGGAGGCGCTTTGGATTGAATCGGGGAGTAGCTTTGCCGGGTCTGCACACAGGCTGCATACACCTCTGCTCAGAAGAGCTAGAGAGGCCAGGTGCAGAGGTCAGTGCTGATGGAGATGAACGGCCTTCTCCCCTGGGGCCTCTCTGGTCTGGGTCTCAATCTTGGGGACCCCTTCTCCAGCGAAGAGCTTGCCTCCCCCCCTGGCTCATCATGCCCCTAGCAAACCTGAGAAGCCCAGCCTCTGTTCAAGGACCCTTCCTGCTAGGCCCCACAGGCCTGTCCAGCCCCAGGCTCCCTTTGGGTACCACCAGGAGGGCATCAGGTTTTCTGGAAGCTAGAAGGGACAAGACCTGGGGGGCCAGGGGCTAACTAGGAGCAGAAGGAGGGGCACCTCGGCGCAAGGGCAGGGTGTCCCGATCCGGAGATGCCGGGATCCTGGGATCCTGGGATGAAGCTCTGTTCGCCCTGCCCCCACCCCTGCCCGGGAGGAGGGGGCGGAGGCGGGGCGCATATCCGTCGCGTTTGCGTTTATCCACCTGGCAGCTCCAATTCACCCGCCCGTCACTCACCCTCCGCCTCCCCTGCGCCCCGCTGCCAAGACAGCCCCCGCCACCACGCGGGCGGGGACCCCCTGCCGGTGCACGGCCGAGGGGCGGGGTCTGCAGGCCCCCAAGAGGGCGCGCACAGGCTCCCAGCCTAAGTCGGTGGGCAGGACAGAGGGGAGGGGGTGCCCAAGGGGTTTCGGTCCCTGGCCGGGTTGGAGTGGGGGCTCCGCGGGTGCTGGCGACTGAGGGACAGCCCCCAGTCCGGGCGAGGGCTGGCGGGCGGCGGGGGAGGGGGCGGTGACTCAGCCGCCCTCCGCCCGCCTCCCCGGAACTTTGCAGCAGCTGGAGCCACGGTTGCTACAGGAACCGAAAGCTTTTGTTCCCCAATGTCAGGGCTGCAGGCCCAGGCACCGCTCCCTGGTGGCACCCAGGCTTGGTCAGGCTGCCCTGCCTCACTGCCCTGCCCAGGTCCCTTCAGCAGAAGGTCCCTCCTAACCCTCCCCCAGCGCCAGAGCTTCCTCTGGTCACTCATGTCCAAGCCAGGTTTCCCCAAACTCTCGGGGCCCCAAACTCTGACCTGCAGTGACAGTTAACTGCCCAGCAAAGTTCATGCAGGCTTCTCCCTTCCTGGCGAGGTACGGGCTCCTCTGGGTCCCCTGTGCTCCTGTGACATTTCCCAAGACACCCTCCCAACAAGCAGCCCATCTTTAGGGACCACAATCAGGGCCACTTCTCTGGCCTGATCCCACCTCTCCACAATTGGACCCGGTCTCAGAGATCGCAGCCGGGTTTGCCTTCACTAAAGGCTCAGGAGCATATGGTGATGGAGAGAAAGGGAGCAGTGGGGGGCCAACAGTCACCTGGGGAGAGCACCTCACCACCTCTGAGGTTGGAGGGGTCCTCGGGTTAGACTGTACTGGAGGATGGAGGCAAAAAGCACAGCACTACCCCTCTGGCATTGAAGGCTGGAGAGACCTGAAGAGGGGCCTGACCTTGGCCTTGAAGAAGAAAGGCCCAACACACTGGCCCAACATTGTTGGCCAGTGCGAGATGCCAGGAACTCATATAGTCCATCCTTCCCGTAGCTCCGAGGCCGGCATGACCACTGACCCATTTTACAGAGGGTGCAATGAGGCTCAGAACGTGATGTGGTTTGCCCAGGTCAGGCGGCTTTTGAACCCGGTTCACCTGATCCGAAGCTGAGTTCCTAGTAACTTATTCAGCTCCATTATCTTCGGGGACCCCACCCACCCCAAAGCAGATCTATCTGAAGACTGGGGTGGGCAGAGCCGAAGATGGGAGGGGGGAGGATAGTCTGTCAGTGCTGTCCTGGGAAGGCCCTCCCCACGCCAGGACACACCGCGCACAGCACCCGGGATCCTTCAGAGCTGGGGCAGCAGGGAGACACTCCCTAGGCGCCCGGAGTGTCCCCGGAACAGGTGGATCCCCTCTTTCCCACACTGTGAACAAGCCAGACAGAGCCCAGCGTTGCCCCTGAGGGCCACCGCGGCAGACACCAGGCAGACAGAGGCTCTCTAGGAACCCGTCCAAGCCCAGCCAGCTCCAACCCTTTCAAAGGCCCGGGGCTCCCCTCCCCGCCCCCGCCCCCTCCCGGCCTGCTGCTGGGATGACCCTCCCTCCCCCCTAAACACGCCGCACCGCACCCCCTCCCCAGCAGGTGGCCTGCCGTCCAGGACCCGCCAGCCGGCCCCCGGGGGTCCGGGACGGGCGGGCGCGGCCTCCCCGACCCACCTCCTCTCCCCAGGGACTTCCCACTGCCGGTCCCGCAGCCACCGCTGCCGCTCCAGCTGCGGAAACCTGGGGGTGGGAGGAAAGGGGCGGCGGGTCCCGGGCTGCGGGCAGGGGGCGCCAGAGGACGCGCGGCCGGCAGCTGGCGGAGCGGGCAGGCGGGCAGCCTCGCGCCGCCCGGAGCCCCTCCCCCCGCGGGCACCAGCGCCGGGGGCCGCGCCGCACCGGCCGCCGCGCCGAGGACTTTCCCTCGGACCGCGCCGGGCGCCCGAGTGGCCGCCAACTTCACCGGCTGCCCCCGCCGCCCCATCGCGCCGCCCGGGCTGCGGGAGGGCGCGCCTGGAGCCCGGGTCCCGGCCCCGGGGGTGGGAGCACAGGGGTGGGGGATGGACCGAGAGACTTGGCCAAAGATGGACCCGCGAGCCGGGGATGCGGAGCCAGCGGAGGTCCCGGCTGGAGGCGGGGTGGGGGCTGTCGGGGCAGAGGTGGGGGACCCGGCCCCGAGTCCAGGTGCAGGAGGAGGAGGGGACTTGCAGCAGCGCCGGGCAAGGGGGAGCGGACTCGGGAAAGACATGGGGGAGGGGACGATCGGGAGGGGAACGGGGGAGCGCTGGGGTTGGGGTCCAGGCGCGGGGAAAGACACGGATGCGGGCTGGCGTGGGGGCTCCGGCGGCGAGGAGGGACGGGGCGGAGCGGGGTCCGGCCTCTCGACAGCCGGGTTGCCGCGGGAGGCAGGGGCGAGCTGCAGGTTGGAGAGGGGCTCTAGCCCAGGCGGGGGGCGCAGTGCCCCTCCTCGATCCAGGCTGGCCGCGGTGGCGAGGGAGGGCGGACTCCAGACGGGGCTGGGGGTAGGGTCTGGGTCGGGATTCTCGGGGTGGGGTGGAGGCGGGGGGCGCTCCTAAGGAAGGGGCGGGGGCGGGATTCACCAGAGACCCAGGGGGCCTCGACTCCGGGTTCGGAAGTTCCCAAAGAGAGGCGAGTGGGTGGGTGGGTGCGGAGCGAACTCGGTCGGGGCGGGGGAGACACGCAGCAGAGCCGGGGCTAGCGAGGCGGGGCGGAGAGTGGGCGCCGCGCGGGGCCGGGGTCTGGGGCCGAGCACTCACCTGGGCGCCGTCAGCAGCAGGAGCGGGGGCCGGCGCGGTGGGGGGCGGCCACGGGGCGCAAGTTTGCCATCCCTACGGCGGGGGCCGGGCCGGGCGCGGGGCAGCTGGCGGCAGCCGCGCCGAGGGCCGAGGCTCCCGCTCCGCGGGGCGGCGGGTGCAGAAGAGGCGCCGCGGAGCAGCGCGGGGCGGGCGGGCGCCGGGCCGGGCGCGGGCTCCTGCCGCCGCCTTCTCGCCGCGCCGCCCCCCACCCCCCGCGCCCGCTCCCCGCTCCCCCGCGCCGAGCACCGCCCGCGCCGAGCGCTGCCTCCTATTCGCGGGCGGCGGCCGCAGCCCCGGACTCGCGAAGCCGGCGCCGCATCCTCGTCCTCGGGCTCCGAGCACTGCCGCCGCCGCCGCCGCCGAACCGGGCTCCTCGGGCCGCTCCGGCCGCTGCCCGCAGCGCGCGCCGGCCCGAGTGACGGCCGAGGCGGGACGCGGCGCCTGCGCGGGCCGGGCCCGGGAGGGGGCGCGCGCCGAGCTGGGCGCGAGGAGCCGCGGGAGAAGGGGTGGGGGGCGGGGGCGATGCGCGCCGCCTCCTGTTAAAGGGGGAGCAGCGCCAGCCGAGCCGGGCGCATCCTCCCCCTCCCCATCCTGGGCCCCGGGCGCCGGCGCGGGAGAAGCCCCGGGTAAGCCCCCGCCCTTCCGCCGCCTCTCCCCCCCCCCCCCCCCAGCGGCCTCCTGGACCGCAGGATGAGGCGATCGCTACGCCCCTCCAGCTACACCCCACGCCCCAGTCATCTCTGGCTGCCAGGGGCTCCCGGGCGCTGGGGGCTGAAGCATTTGTCACCTCCAACACCATGTGCGCCGCATTTGCATATCCCCGTGCTTGCAGGTGCCTCTCTGAGCGCTGAACTTTGCATATGCGGATGCACACAGGTGTCCTGTGTGTGCAGTGTTGCCCGCTGTGTGCATACCAGTGTGACACACATGCACAGTGCGTCCATATGTGCTCAGGCCCCGAGCGCTTGATGCCGGTTCCTGTGGGTAGGGATGCTCCAGGAGCACGAGCCAGCAAGCGTACCAGCTTGTGTGTTGGTGGCTTCTATGTAGGAGTCACATATGCACACTGCAGTGTGGTGAATTTGGTGCATACTTGGGTATAGATCCTGCAGTCTTGCATGTCCCCAGGCATGGGGATGCCACACATGGTCAGGGTGTTCCATGCTTCCCTGAGTGCTGTTCCGTTGCCACCAGTGCCTCTCCTTGTGCCAGGATGAACCCCCCAACACCACCACACTTCCCCATGTTGCATCTGTTTGTGTAGAAGCAGACCTCCCCTCCCCACCCTGCACTGCACTGTGTGCATTGACCGTGGGGTGGGGCCTGTGCCCACATGCTCCAGGCAGTACCCAGGGAGATGTCTAAGGCTCAGGGCCCCAAACTGGTGGTTCATGCGTGGCCTGGACATGTTGCCACCTTGAAAGTCGAAGAACAAGAACACACCACTTGCTGGGGGTGGGGAGGTAGGGGGGTGAGGGGGGTGGTCCCAGATCAGTGGGTGAACCTGGGAGCTCAGGTCAGGGGACGGGATAGAAAGGGGCGTGTTTGCAGTGAGGGGTGGATGGGGTTAGAAACTGGCTTTCTAAATGGTCTCTGAGCAGCAGAGAGGCAGACTTGGGGAGTAAGTGCATCCCCTGTCCACCTTGTGAAAAATCCCTCCTCTCCACCCATGCCCCTTCACTGTGTCACTGTGTCACGTTGCAAACTGGGGCAGCTAGGGAACCTTCACCTCGCCCCAGTACCAGGAAGAGGCAGGCAGGAAAGCCCCTGCTCCCTCCCTCTGTCCCTCCCCCCAGCAGTCGCGGGTGACATTTGTTGTGAGTGATTGTGAGAGATTATCGACTTTAATGGAAGGAGGTAATAAGGGGCGATGAAGGAATCTCACCCGTCACCTTAAGGGAATTTATGAGGCTGTAGGAGGCAGGGAGGAGGGCTGGTACCTTCTTTTCTCAGCGGGAGCCCCGGAAGACCTGGGCCTGGCCTAGCACTGGCAGCCCAGGTTCCTGGGTTCTGGCCGGGCACCCTCAAACATACCCAAGGTGTCTGGGTCTGCAGGCTCAGCTGCTGTTGTGGAAGCCAGAGTAGTCTGCAGGATGTTAAGGGTGATCCTAGGTCCCCTCCTCTGCTGGGCACTGGGAGGGAGACCATGGTTGCTAGGTTCAAAGCCTTCAAGAGGTGGGCCAAGGGCCAGGGAGAGAGCTCAAGAGGCTGGAGCATTTACCTGGCATCCCTCTGGCCCTGGGTTCCAACCCCGGCACCACATGGCCTCCAGAGCACAGCCAGGAGTAGGCCCAGCACCACTGCAGAAGTCCCACCCTCAGGAGGAGAAGGGAACGAAGGTGGAGAGAGTGGCCAGCACTCTGGGGACCCATCTCTAAAATATAGGACAGACCCTCAGAAGCCTCCAGCACTCCAGAGCTCCAGCCCCTTCCTCTCCTACAGGGAGCCTGCCTGCCTCCTCCTCATGAATATTCATGATATTTGCCTACTGGAGACCTGGAGCCCAGAGAAACCCAGGCAGTCTCCAGCAGATGTGATGCAGCTGGATCCCTGTGGGCTTCCCCCTCTCCCCGGGACCCAGCTGGGAGCAGAGTGCCAGGAGGAGCCGCTCCAGATAGACGGCCGCCACGGTCTGTTTTCGTTCCACGGAGCTCTCTGACTCCTCGACCCTGTGCCGGGCATCCAACCACAAAGTTTTCTACCCTGGGAAAGATGGGAAGGCAGAGTGAGGGACTCCTGGACAGATGGATGGGGGGATAGCTGACAGTTCCCCGTCCAGGGGCTGTAAGGATGCGGCTGGCCGGATGGAAGCTGTGAGACAGGGAGCTAGACAGAGGCAACAGGACCTCCCAGGGACTGGGCAGAAGCAGGCAAACTGTCTGGAAGGCTCTCACAGGGGTGGTCCCTGCCTCAGGGCTTCCCCACCTCTGTTCCCTGGAGCCCCTGCCCTTCCAGACCCACTCCGGTGATAAGGCTGCCCGCCTGGAGTACTTGGAGTAATTACAAATTGTTTCCATATTCAAATCCAGCTGGTTGAAGAGAAATTACTTCTCTGTCAGCCCAGGCAGGCGTGGGAAGAACAAGCCTGCGCCCCAGGAGGGGCTCCGGGGGGAGCAGGAGGGGGCAGAGACTGGGCAAGGGAAGGGCAGCAGCCGGAACCCGAGCCAGAGCACTGTGCTGGGGCAGAGTGCACCTGTATCACCTGCCCTCCCCCGAAAGGAGACAAAGACCCCAGCCCTCAGCACCTTGGGGGGACCCCCTCTAGAACCTCTGATGAGGCGGGGAAGAAATCCTGGAGATCCACCCTGCAGGGGTCAGGAGAAGCCAGGCTTCCCCCCCACCACCACCACCACCAATCGCAGTCTGCAGTGCTCAGTGACCTTGAGAAAGGCCCTTTGCTCTCTGGGCTTCTGTGCCCCTGGGTGAAATGTGTGAATGAGCACAGCCTGGTTTCCTCTGGGATTCTCCAGTTAAGCCCCTGAAGGGGGCTGTTTTAAATAATTATTTTATTGCCCGTTAATGAGACTGTGTTAACAGAGACAAGCACCAGTGGCCCAGTGGGGAGGCAGCTAACCCTAGGTGGGGCAGCTGGTGTGTGTCGGGGGAGGCCCTGGAGGGGAGGGCCTTGGCCTCACCCACCTGGCCTCAGCCCTGCCTCCCACTGGGCCGGCTACTGCTATGCTTCGTTGCCCTTTAAACAGATGAGAAAATGTTCCTCTTCCCTTCCCCGTGATTGATTTGGCCCCGAGCCGAGGCAGGATCCCTCCAGGACTTCGGGACCCAGAGCACCTGCCCTCAGCCCCTGCCCTCCTGTCACTAGCCAGGCCTCCTCACAAGCACCCGAAGTTTCTCCGCGTCAGCTTCGAGGCCGGCTTCCAGTGCCCTGCCCTAAGCACCCGCACCCACCAGGGGCTCCAGAGAAGGACTGGCCTCTGCCGGGAGGACCTAGCTTCTGTCTTCCTACTGCAGAAGCCCACGGGGCTAGGAGCCTTTTTCGTGGCTTTCCTTTGTGAGGGGGGGAGGTTGGGCTACACCCGGCAGTGCTCAGGGCTTACTCCTGGTGTGTGCTCAGAGATCATTCCTCGAGGTGCTCAGGGGACCATATGTGGTGCTGGGGATCCATCCGGGATCGGCCACCTGTAAGGCAAGGGCCTTAATCCCTGCACTGTTTCTTGGGCTCCCCTGTGGATGGAGAGAACAGAGAAGTGGTTCCCTCGCCAAACCTAGGAAGGCTGGTGCCTGTTTGTGTGAAGCCCTCCTCCGTGTGCATGTTCTGTGGTTCTCTCTGCCCTCTGGGATAGAGGTGGAGAGTTTAGGATCCTGGGTGACCTTTGTAGATAACTTGTACAGGGGGGTGCGCCCGAGAACCTAGCACCAAGACGGCAGTTGCCCTCAATCACTCATGGGACAAGTATTTAGTGTTTCTGAAGTTCTTGGCACTGGGATCCAGGCCATCAGACGTCCCCTTGTCTCTATCTCCAAAATAATTCTAAATACATCCGCTCTTCACATCCCCTCTTCCCTCCTGTGGTGGTCAGGCTCCCCTTCTGTTTCCCCACCCCAGCAAGTTCTCCTAAAGCCCTAAGTGGAGTCTTAAAAATGTAAATCAGGGGCCTGCAAGCAGTAGGGCCCTTGCCTTGCATGGGGTCCATACTGCTTCATTCCATCCCTGGCACCCCGTATGATCCCTTGAGCACCACCAGTAGTGATCCCTGAGCAGAACCCTGACCGCAGTCAGGTGTGGCAAGAAAACAAACAAAAAATAAGACCAAAGTGCCTCTTCTTAAATGCCACCTCCCCAAGACTTTCTACTGCACTTTTTGTTCATTTGTTTTTGTTCTGGGGCCATGATATCGATGCTCAGGGGTTACTCCTGGCTCTGCACTCAGGGATCACTCCCAGCATTGCTCAGGGATGCCAGGGATCAAACCCAGGTCAATCGCATGCAAGGCAAACCCCCTACCTGCTGTGCTATCACACAGGCACCTTTACTGCTCTTAGCACTGTGACCTTTCAGGTTCTGCGTAGTTGCCCCTCACCTACTTCCCAGGAGACATCTCCACCTCCATACCCCACACCCCGAACCTTGCTTCAGTCATGCGCACATTCTCCTTACTGCTCTTAGAAAACTCCATACATGGGGCCAGAGAGTACAGGGGTTAAGGTGCTTGCCCTGAACATACAATTAACCCATATTTGATCCCCAGCAGTGCCTTGTTCCCCCGAGCACCACCAGGAGTGATCCCCGAGGACAGAACCAGGAGTAAGTCCTAAACACTACCAGACGTGGCCCCCCCAAGTATTTTCTTTTTTTGCTTTTTGGGTCACACCTGGTGATGCTCAGGGGTTACTCCTGGCTTTGCGCTCAAAAATCACTCCTGGAAGTGCTCGGGGGACCATATGTGATGCTGGGAATTGAACCCGGGTGAGTCGGCCGCGTGCAAGGCAAATGCCCTACCCACTGTGCTATTGCTCCAGCCCCCCAATTTTTTTAAGCAACAAAACTCCAATCCCTACCCCCAACATTTTCTATAGCTGACCACTTCTCATCAGGATAGTCTTGGCACCAATATCACCTCTTCCAGGAAGCTTCCCCTGATCATTCTTCTAAGCAGCCCTAAAATGC